TACAATTTTTGAATTTGTGTTGTTTATGGGGCAGTGAAGGACATTTCCCTCATAATTGTTGTGATTCAATAAATTCGATGAAGTTAAATTGCATTGAGTGGAGACGTCTTCCACTTCTCCTTTTTGACAAATTCTGAGCAATTTGCCATCAATCAAATTGTCACTTAAAGAAAAGGAAGTTGCGTTTTGTTGTTCTTCAAATGAAATTAACTCAAAACAGTTGATTGTATCAGGTGAATACTCTATTTTTTGTGTGTAGGCCATTTCTATTTTCCCTCCTCTTTCCACTTGAAATGTTCCATTTTTATTTAATTTGTTGCTTAAGTTTTGAAAATAAATTGTACTGCTTTCTTTGAGTAACAAAACTCCTTTATTTGATACAACCAAATTCGACTTTTCTGATAGAAAGAGTGTATTTTGAATTTCTAATTTATTGTGTATTGCAACTGTATTTTGAACTGTAACATTTTGTCCACAAAGTGTCGAACTTCCAGTCACTTTCACCTTAATCCCTTTAAATATTATTTTCCCCCAATTTTCAATTGAAGTTGTTTCATATTCATTTGAATCTATTTGCAGTGTTAATTCCGCCCTCTTTGTGTCATTAAAACAGTCATTTTGATTTATTAAATCGAGTGTATTTGGTTCCCAATTGTTGTTTGTGTAATTGCAAAAACATACCACGTCATCACTTTTGCTATAAAAGGCTCTTCTTCCACAACGATTTAAGTTTCCATCATTACTAACTAGTTTTCCATCAACAGAAAACAAGACTTTATTCCTTAGACTTTCTTTGTATTCAACAGTATTTATCACTACGTCTTCTATAAAATAGTAATTTCCAATTGAACTAATAATCAATTTGTTGATGTACACACTCATTTGGAATTCGACATTAACTTGTTCTTTCATATCAAAAACAGTGAAATTGAGATATTTAACATCTTCATATTCTCTAATAAAAGTCCAGAATTTATCGGGTGCAAATATTACCGAATACCAATCAGTGATTTCAATTGATATGGTGATACTTTTCCAATTATATGTTGTAAGATTAGTTAAAGCCAAATCAAACAACGAACTATTATACACGCAGTCGGGGTAATTATAATAATAATTTTTAAGAAGCTTCACGCCTTCTCTTTGACAAGTACAATCCCTGGTTGTAACATTTTCATAGTTTTCACCTTCTTTGAAGAGTAAGAACCTTTTATACCCAAAACGGTCACACACAGCTTTGGGAATAAAAGTGCCTGTTGTCAACCCTTCTTCAAACCTGATCATATTTTCATCGGAATTGCCAGTGAATAAAAACCGTTTTTTGCTGTATGGTTCTCCAAGTGAAATCTTGACCATGTATTGGTATACAACACTTTGTTTGACTACTCCATTTATAAATAGTTGTACTGGTTGTCTTGCATTTGGAAGATAATACCATATCCAGAATTTTTGATCGATATCAGAATAGAGAGAAATGCCCTTTTGGTTGTAATCTATTTTTGATGGAGTCGAACTGTTAACACTTGTCCGACAATTCTTGTTTCCATTATAACACCCAAAGGAAACAAAGAGACCTTCTGGTCGTGCTCTTTCGTAAACAAGAATTTGGACATCTTGAGAAGACTCTCTGATAAACAGTGTTTTGATATTTATGTAATTGTTATCAAGAAAATAAAACGATTTGGTCAGTGTTGTGCCATTACCAAAGGTTTCATCAAATGTTATCATTTCATTTAAACAACACCCAGTTTTCATTTTAATCCACATTGTTGTTACATTCGATTCAGTGTACCAATTTGATCTGAGACATTCACTTTCATAAGAAATATAACGAATAACGCCGTCTATTTCGCACCAGTTTGAAGCGGCTTTTACATCTTCAACCAAAATAAAAAGCACTGTAACAAGTGATAACACAAACATCAATAGATTATTATTTTTTGGTTTTTTTCGTATTTATAAAAAATTTTTGTAATTGTTTTTAGTGTATTTTTGCTATTTTAGACAATTCGGCTTTTTTCAGTTGATTGAACCAATTAAATAAATTGTGCGAATGAA